GGAGGGGAGGGGGCGACACGGCGGGGCTGCAGGAGGCAAGAAGAGGGAGGGAGACGCCGGGCAACGGGAGGAAGAAGAGGCGAATGAACGAACGGGGGAAGCGCCAGTTCCCGGCCGCGCGTTCACGCTAAGCTGACAGCTTCGCGGACGGCGGAGGATTAGCTTGAGGGAGGGTGGTGGGAGGGCTTGAAAGGAGGAGGGGTGAAAAAAAGACTCCTGGGCTTGGGAGGAGGGTGGAGGAAACGGGGCGACCGCGTGGGGGCGGGAAGGCTCTAGCAATTTCTAGAACCCGGGTTTCGCTCCGGGGCCGGCAGGTGGCGCTGGGATGGGCGTTGGGAGAGCGGGCGGGCTGGGCTCTCTCGCTCCTTTCTTCCTTCCCCGCCCCTTTGCCTGGGGCTTCCTTCCCGAGGCAAGACCATGATGGGCCACAGGATTGCCCAGACAGCAGCTTTAACGGGATGTGGTTTTGGGAGAACGATGTGCGTGATTTGATTACTGCTCATTTCTGCTTCTATTTTGAATTGTTGACTTAAGGCCCCTCTCTTTGAAAGCATCAAGTGTACTTTCTTTTTAAAAAACAAGAAGAGGCGTGGGTCTGAATAATGTTTCTGAAAATAACTATCTGTGCATAGTTATTTTGAAGGCTAGCCTGAGTTTCGTCATGTGAGCATATTCCCGGTGTGCAGAATGTGGTGGTTTTCTTTGCTTTATGGATAGATTTTAAGAATAGGGTATTGGACTCATGAATTGGTTATTTTGGAGAATTTTCTACAGCATTTGCATTTGGGTAACATGTAAATTGTTAGTGGTTCTGTACAATGGTGCATGCTGGAGTGTGTAATTAGGGTGGTTAGATTCTATAGGTATTCAAGCAGATAGAAATGAATAACAGTAAAGGGGCAGTTAAGTCAGTTTACAGTAAATTTTAAAATCATCAGATCTTTTGAAAAATAACTGACATGTTTTGTCAGCTTTCTTCGAGCTAGACTATTCACTTGGGGATGGAGTATGATGCCTGTGACACTCTAGTAGAAGCAAAATTGCTCAGTTGATGTTTCTGGTCATGTTTAGGAACTGAGTAGAGGTTTATTGTATTTGGCCTCCCTCATGAATGATAGTCTTCTAAACAGGATGTGTAGTATACCCCACCAAGAATTTTGCATAGAGTCCTAAATGCATTTGAGTAGTTTGTGTGTCTAGACTCTGGAGTTTTAATCTCTTGAGGGGAGAGTAATGTTGCTACATGCATTATGGAAGTAAATAATTTTAGGATTATTTTCAGGGCACTGTATTTAATGTTACTGTTTGTCTTCATTACCAGATGCCTGAGGAGGTGCAGACACATGATCACTCAATGGAGGAAGAGGTGGAGACCTTTGCCTTTCAGGCAGTAATTGCTCAGTTGATGTCTCTGATCATAAATACTTTTTACTCAAATAAAGAAATCTTCCTTAGGGAACTAATCTCCAACTCATCTGATGTAAGTAAATAGTTTTAGGGACAGGAAACTTGATTGTCTTTGTTTTAAGATTCCATGAATGTATGTAAATATCTTTTTGTTTTTACAGGCTCTGGATAAAATCAGATACGAGAGCTTGACTGACCCAAGCAAATTGGATTCTGGAAAGGACCTGAAGATAAATCTTATTCCAAACAAACATGATCGTACTCTGACCATTGTAGATACTGGTATTGGGATGACCAAAGCTGATCTGGTCAATAATCTGGGAACCATTGCAAAGTCTGGCACAAAGGCTTTCATGGAGGCTTTGCAGGCTGGAGCAGATATCTCCATGATTGGTCAGTTTGGTGTTGGCTTCTACTCTGCATATTTAGTTGCTGAGAAAGTAACTGTGATTACTAAGCACAATGATGATGAACAGTATGCTTGGGAGTCATCAGCTGGTGGATCGTTCACTGTCAGGCTGGACAATGGTAAGGATTGGTTTTAATCATTCTCATCTGCAAGTGAAAGTGATCTTGAATATGAAAAAATAATATAGTAAGAAGTGGTGGATTGTAGACATCTTAGTTAACCAGGTTGTGGCCCCTGGACTGTCCACTCACCCTTGTGCTGGTCTTCCTGTTGCTTCAAAGATTGGGGTCGACTACCCACTCCTGCCAGGAGGCAGAACAATAAGCCTCCCTGGCATGTCAAAGAGTGGCTAGCGATAGAAGCCTGTGGAAGGCTAAGTGGACAGGCCGGCCCCAGGGGGCTGGACCCTTGTTATGTCCATCTGTGCAGAGGTATTCATATATGAATAGCCCCATTTCTAGTGCATTGGAACAAGGATGGGAAACTTGTTAATGGGCTGCATTTGTCCTGCCAGTGAGGTGAGGTCTCAGAGGGCTGTCACACTCTGAACAACTAATCTGTAACTGATGAGTTGGCTCTTGGCTTTTTTTCTGTGGCGGGGAAAACAAAGACAGAAGTAAAGGGCCTACAGTAGGACATACAGATCACCAATGTGCACAGGTGTTTGCTGCTTGTCATTCAGTGGTAGAATTAAATTGTTTTTAAGCCAGTGACTTGTTAAAACCAATTTGTGTCTTACATTTCCAGTGGAGGAGTTGGTGGGCAGGACTTTGGCACCTCCGGAATCTTCATGTGTTTGGATATGCCATAGAAATTATGATATTGTAGCTTTTGTGTTACGTGATTAATGTTAACATTGCTAACTGTATTGCTTGTATTTATTGCAGGTGAGCCTTTGGGGCGTGGGACAAAGGTTATTCTCCATCTGAAAGAAGACCAGATTGAGTATTTGGAGGAAAGACGCATTAAGGAGATAGTAAAGAAACATTCTCAGTTCATTGGATATCCTATAACTCTCTTTGTAAGTAGCTTTTTTAATGAGAAATACTGTGAATAATTGATACTGCGTTATCATAGTTCGAGTTTGGTTAATTTTTTCACTTACTCTGCTCACAGGTAGAGAAGGAACGTGATAAGGAGGTTAGTGATGATGAGGCAGAGGAGAAAGAGGAAGAGAAGGAAGAGAAAGAAGAAAAGGCTGAAGATAAGCCAGAAATTGAGGATGTTGGTTCTGATGAGGAGGAGGAAAAGAAAGACGGTGATAAGAAGAAGAAAAAGAAGATCAAAGAGAAATATATTGATCAGGAAGAACTCAACAAGACAAAGCCAATTTGGACCCGGAATCCAGATGATATTACTAATGAGGAATATGGGGAGTTCTACAAGAGCCTGACCAATGATTGGGAAGACCATCTAGCAGTCAAAGTAAGATTATCTTTTTTTTTTTCCTTTTTGCTATATAGACTAGTGGTTCAGAGTTTAAATGTGATTGGTTATTGGAGAGTGTGCTAAAATTGACATAGTCTGACATTTTAAATATTTTTCTATGTGTTTAAAGGAATACAGTAGTCTGTTAGTAGGGGGAAGTGTTTCACTCTGGTTGGCTGGCTGATGGTGACATTGGTTTAGATAATGGCTGAAATCTTGAATAGCTTTACATAGTGCAGATAAGATGACATCATCTTGCAATGGTAATACTCATTGGAAGATTGCCAGCCCTGCCTCCTTCAGGTTCCATGCCATTTTATCTAGAAAAATCTTTAAGGACCTTGGGATGTGGTAGCTTTTAATACCCAAAACTTGGCACTGGATCATTGGCACAAGTTACATCAAAAGGGTTTCAGCCATTGTTTGTTTGTGGCATGATTTTTAATGTCTCAGGGCACCTTACCCTGCATCAGGTTCAGGTTTCATTTGTTTCTTTGTTTTTTGTTTTAGCATTTCTCAGTGGAAGGCCAGCTGGAATTTAGGGCACTTCTGTTTGTTCCAAGGCGTGCACCTTTTGACTTGTTTGAAAACAGAAAGAAAAAGAACAACATTAAGTTGTATGTTCGTAGAGTGTTCATCATGGACAACTGTGAAGAGTTAATTCCAGAATATTTGAGTAAGTAAATAATTTTGTTTTTGTTGGGTAGGAGAGTATGTTGGTAGCGTTAACACAGTTGTTTTTCTTAGTATTAACAGAGAGCCATGATTGGATTGTCCATGAATCTTGACATATTATGTTTTGTTTTACTAAGGTCTGCAAAACATGAAGCACATGAAATTGTGTCTGCCAATCAGTTTTTACTGGTCTGGTTGCTGCTAGCTCTCTTCCATGTGAATTGGCTTACTTTTAAAGCTGTTACAGTTGGTGGTCTATCACCACAGTTTGTCACGGTGAATTCCAATAACTTCATCCCGTTTGACATATTATGTTTTGTTTTGCTAAGGTCTGCAAAACATGAAGCACATGAAATTGTGTCTGCCAATCAGTTTTTACTGGTCTGGTTGCTGCTAGCTCTCTTCCATGTGAATTGGCTTACTTTTAAAGCTGTTACAGTTGGTGGTCTATCACCACAGTTTGTCACGGTGAATTCCAATAACTTCATCCCGTGTAACTATTACTTTATGTCAAGGCTTAGTCCTTACTTAGATTTATGTTCTATAGTTTTTTAATAGCAGTTTGGTTTTCAGTTGAGTGAGATTAAATTGAGCTCTTCTTCACAGATTTTATGCGAGGTGTTGTAGATTCAGAAGACTTGCCTCTGAATATCTCTCGTGAAATGCTGCAGCAGAGCAAGATTTTGAAAGTGATTCGGAAGAACTTAGTCAAGAAATGCTTAGAGCTCTTCACTGAACTGGCTGAAGATAAAGAAAACTACAAGAAGTTCTATGAGCAATTTTCCAAAAACATCAAGGTAGGCTGGTTCAAAGTTGCTTTTCTGGAAAAAAAATTGTGCTAGGTGGTTGTTTTGCAGAAAATATCTACCAAATTGCTCACCGAATTTTTTTCCTCCCAGCTTGGTATACATGAGGATTCCCAGAACCGCAAGAAGTTGTCAGAGTTGCTGAGATACTATACATCTGCATCTGGGGATGAGATGGTATCACTAAAAGATTACTGCACTCGGATGAAAGAAAATCAGAAACACGTGTACTACATTACTGGCAAGTATCACTTTCAATAGCAAAAACAAGTACAATATTTCCATTAGTGGCTACTTTTAAAGAAACATTCAGTGATGCAGTGCAGAGGGGTTGTGTGGAGCATAAAGGAATGAAGCACTACTATGTTTCTAGTTGATCTTCAGATTGGTGTTTCACAGGTGTCTGGTTTCTGAGTTACACTTTGTATTTTTTAAGTTATATATTAATGTTGTTCTTATGCTTTTTATTTAGGTGAAACTAAAGACCAAGTAGCAAATTCTGCTTTTGTGGAGCGACTCCGTAAGCATGGGCTGGAAGTTATTTACATGATTGAACCTATTGATGAGTATTGCGTACAACAGTTAAAAGAGTTTGAAGGGAAGACATTGGTTTCAGTAACAAAAGAGGGACTGGAGCTTCCTGAGGATGAAGAAGAGAAGAAGAAACAGGAGGAGAAGAAAGCAAAGTTTGAAAGTCTTTGCAAGATCATGAAAGACATACTTGAAAAGAAAGTAGAGAAGGTAATGTTTTTGTCCTCAAAGATTAGTGTCTGGTTAAAGTGGCTGTTAGCTGTGGAAGGTTGTCTTACCTACCAGGCTGTGTAGGGATAGCAGAAGCATCTTCTAAAGAGGCCTTACTGGATTCCAGGTGTGAAGGTCTTCTGACTGCTGAGTCCATTGTATTTGACCAGTGAGCTGCAGCAACTACTTGATTAGATTCCTATTCATTTGTAGGAATGTTCTGTTAACATGTAGGTGGAGTTCTCTGTTATAGATAGGTTTTTTGTTTTCTGCAGGTTGTGGTGTCCAACAGATTGGTTACTTCTCCATGCTGCATTGTGACCAGTACATATGGCTGGACAGCTAATATGGAAAGGATCATGAAGGCACAAGCACTCAGGGACAACTCCACAATGGGCTATATGGCTGCCAAGAAGCATCTAGAAATCAATCCTGACCATTCTATTATTGAGACACTGAGGCAGAAGGCAGAAGCAGACAAGAACGACAAATCTGTGAAGGACCTCGTCATTCTTCTGTACGAGACTGCTCTTCTGTCTTCAGGATTCAGTCTAGAGGATCCTCAGACACATGCTAATCGTATCTACAGAATGATAAAACTTGGCCTGGGTAAGTTAGATGTTTAACTGAGTTTATAGCTGAGCATCTCTGCTTTTCAACAAGGCTGCAGAGCTGTGTGGTATTTTGGAGGAGGCATCTTGTGTGAAACCACTGTGGTTTGTTTCACCACCCTTTTCATTCAAGGAAATAGACTGAGGAGGAAGAGATCTATTTATGAGCCCCACTGGTGGCTTTTGGTTAACATGACTATTTCTGTGCTGGGGAAATTTTTTAGTAGAAACAAAAATTGGATAGGTTTATAAAAAAGTGATGGTGTATGATGGTGCTTAACTTCAATTTCAATCTTGTACAGGCATAGATGAAGATGATGCTACAACAGAGGAAGCTAGTCCAGCAGTTGCTGAAGAGATGCCACCACTTGAAGGGGATGATGATACATCACGTATGGAAGAAGTGGATTAAATGTCTGACTGTTAGAGCAGTTTGGATATTTCTGTTGCCCTAGGCTTTAAATAAGTTATATTTTGTATATTATGAATGTTAACCTTGCCAAAAAAGTTTCGACACTTGTCTGCATTCCCTCTTTCTATTTATTTTTGAAGATGTTTTACCTTTATTTTTGTTACATTTGCTTTTTTTAGGTAATGTGAGATGCCATTGAGGGAGTGTCATTTCTTGATGTATAACACTGTACAATCCTACCTTATACTGGCAAGTAAACAGCTGGATGGTTGATTAGTGGCAGGGTTTTAAGAGTGGTTGTGGGCAGAAAAAAATGGAGTATGGGGAAGTTAAAGGTGTTGGCAGACGTTCATGTTAAACCTAAAGTTCTAAAAACTGAAAATCTGTAACATACGATGCCTAGTTAATTAGGTATTAGAACTGAAAATCTTGAAATACCTGACATCTTATTCAAAGTTTCAAGCTATTGTTGTTTAGTTTTTTTATACTGTAAAAAAAAGATTCTGAATTCCACACTTGCATAGACTTAGAATCTGCTGTAAATCTATTGTGACTAATGCAGTTTTGCATGTACAGTTCTGCTCTGGAAGTATCTAAAAGTAAAAGTGTTCTGAATGAATTTGGCAGTTATGTTCTGTGTATTGTGTTCTAGCTGGATTTTCATTTACGTTCTCAAATTGAAAGGTTTCCCAATTACCTGTATTCTTTGAAACAGCAAAGTTTATAGGGATATCTCTTGAACAGCTATACTGGCTCTGACATTTGTATATCAGATTGGACATTTTTTTTTTAAAGTGGAAATTCCTGGTTATTTGAAGATGGAAGCATTGTTTCCAAATTGAAATTTGGAGGACATCAAGATATAATGATCTAGTCAGAGAGCTAAGCCAAAATCAGTGAAAGCTGCAGATGAGTTTCTACATTACAACATCCAAGCACCAGTGCCTGTAGAAGTTAAGGCATTTGCAGCCCAAAAACATTTCAGAACCTAGGAATGAAAAACTGCATGTATAAATGTAGGTTATCTGAACATGGTTAGCTTTCTGTAGATGAAAAGTCAGTGAATTTCTCACCTTAGTGTCATGGGACCTCTGTTATACAGCAGGTTAACAATAGTTGAAGTACAATTAGGAGAATAGGCAAAAGGAGGTATGAAACTTGAACCAAATAATGACAGATGAGTAGTCTTGGTTCTGCATAATGGAGAGAGAAGTATGCAGAATAAAATGTATTGAGGACAGAGCAAGATTGCAAAAATGGATAGTTAAAAACATTCTCGTAAAAATGTTAATTCATGCCCAACAAGGTCAACTTGTACCAAATGCTGATGTCTGAAGATATAAATACCTTGAGAAACGGGAGCAATGTGCAGTATCACATAATTAAGATCATTTGCAAATCCATACTTTGGTCTTTCAGGTTCAAATCCTGATGAAGAGGGTATGTGCTGTCTCTTCCAGGTTTGTTTTAGAGTACATTTGAGAGAACTTTAATCTTCCCGAACTGTCAGACTTTTGATTAATGAATGCCAAGTTCAGGCAGTTCACAAGACTGCTGTTCCTCACTAAATCCAAGTCTTGGCTGGAAAATGGTCAGAGAGGGGTTATTTCCCAACAGTGTAGCAAGGTTACATCTCTAAAGCCAGTCACTGGCTTCAATTTAAAGATTTAAAAGCAACAAGAAAAACCTGTTCCTGTATACAATTTAAATGTTGGATTATACTTTTATTACACCATTTAAAATATCACGAATGCTAGCTTTCAATCTGTATCTTCAGGTTGCACATGCAAAAGTGCGTGATGTAGGAAAAACATTAAAAGCTCTAGAAATCTTGGCTGTATGTGTAGGACAGACTTGGATTAAAGCAAATCTCAAAAAAGGGACTAATCTTGGGTCAGAGGTACAGGTACATTGCATTCAGTGGCCCCGGCACCCCCTCCCAGGGCTGTTCCACTTGCCAGACAGTAGGTGGAGTGATGCGACACCTACCAAAGCCTTTTAAATTATTGACTTAAGTTCACCTATTTGACACAACGGCGGCAGAAAATTTGTTTAAAAAAATATAGGACAACCAGCAGTAATGGCAGTAGCCTTTTCCAGAGAATTTGCTTCAAAAAAGTATTGATAGATGAATACATACCTGCCATGCTGCTAAGGCCATAGGAGCAAAACAAAAACAAGGCGAGTGGAAATTGAACCACTGATACACCGTTGGCCAGTAAAATTAATTGCTAATGACCATGTGTTGTGTGACTACAAATTTATGCTATGATCTAACTTGGGTGTACGTAGGGAACAATTCCGTCATGTGATCATACCCTCAAATGTGATGCTATTCTCAGCAACCAGGGTTACAATTATTGTTGCTCATATGGCACAAGTCATTTGCTGCCTTACATCTTATTGAAGTGTTGTGTTGTCCTTAAGAGCAGGCTAGGAAACAAGGAAAGAAACTAGATCATATCTGAAGCATTTTAAAAAAGGAAATTCCTGTCTATCTAGAGATAGAAGCACTGTTTCCAAATTGAAATTCAGTGGAAATTGTGTCCCTTAAGATCCAAGGCATGAGTTAAAGCTGCAGGTGTGTTTTGAGACCACAACTGCCAAGCACCAGTGCCTGTGGGAATTAGGGTCTTTGGAATCCAAAAAAACCTCGCTCTGTAATTTATTTCAGAATTTTGGTATGAAAGAACTGCATGTAAATGTAGGTCAACTGAACCTGCTCAATCTGCTGTAGATGAAATGTCAGTGAGTTTCTCAGTTTAATATGATGGGATCTAAGTTGTACAACAGGCTGAGGTTTTGAAATTAGTGGGCTTTTCTTCTGAGTAGACCTGGAGAAAGCCGCAGGAGCATTTTGAGGACCACTGGGTGCAATAATAAGACCCTTCTTACTGGCAGTTCTGCTCCCATAACTTTCCTGAAAGACTTCTATGGTGAAAACTTTCTGAGTTGGGAATGCAGGCACAAGTCATAACATTTTTGATAACAAGCTAACTGGATCTCCTGATCACCCTACCTCCTGTTTTTCTGATTCCGCAAGAGGCTTTTTTGAAGATCTGTTGGGCAGGGGAGTTGAAATTCTGGCTGAAGGCCAAGAATTCCATGCTAGCAAGTTCAATGAAAAAGTAAAAGTGATCATTGGACTTTTGCTAACAGCTGTGAGCAACCTTCCCAAGGCCAGGTATGTAGCAGTAGAACAAGCAAACAAAACATTAACCTCTTGGCTTGAACCCTGGTTCATGCATCACACACTGTGGATATACTCTGTGCTATTTAATGAAAACTCAAAATGTGTTACTCTTTACTTCTCAGCAACCAGGATTATAATTATAAGTGGCATGCTTTATTTGCTGTTCATTTGGTCATTTGCTGCTTTACATCTTATTGAAGTGGTGCATCTTCCTTAAGAGCAGGCCAGGAAACAAGGAAAGGACCTTCTCTCCTAACCCCTGTCATGGCCATTGAAATATAGATGTAAATACAGAAGCCAAAGGAAAGAATACTTCCCATGCCAATTAAGATTGACAAGAGAATAACATCAAACAAGAAAGGTTTGAAAACATGAATGAAAAGGAATGTTTGGAAATCAATAGGTGTCACTTCTGAAACCTGAGCAGCTTCAGTGTGACATATAACTCCCAAAAATTAGCTTTTGAACATGCAGCCACATTGCTTTCTATGATGCTTTCATGTTCTTGTTCTGGCCAGACAAAAAGATGCTGACACAGAACAAGCCATCAAGGAAGACGCAGAAGGCAAAGGGATTTCTTCTGGAAGGTGGAGCCCTTGCCCCAATGAAAGGAAAAAGGAGCACCTGAACAGAAACATCAATTCCAATTCCCCATGTGAGGCACAAATGAAACAAGCCACTTAAATGGCGAAACTGGCAACTTTAAGGACAAATCATTCACGAACTTCAGAACAATTTAGAAGCCAGTATTAGACTTTTTGTTTAAAAAGGGGGGAAATAAACTGATGATACATAGTTGTGAATTCTAGAGGCATGGATATCAATGAGGAGACACCTATAATCCTAAGTATGAACGGATTTTTGTGCAGTGAATGTTAACTTTGAAGTATTTACTATAGATAAAAGAATAACTGGTAGTCTGGATAACAAATGAGAAAGTTTCACAACATCAATAATGTGAAGAATTGGTTAAACTAGTTTGCTCCTGTTTGAACCCTCTCCCCCATGTATCCCATGCATGAGAAATTAAATAAAATACATATTTGTAAAAAAGAACAATTGGTCAAGTAAGAAAGGCATGGAGACTTTTTCCAAATGGTGGAGGCTTTACTCAAAAGAAACAAAAAAGGAGCACAAGCTTGTTCTGCGTCACCTGAACGGAGGCATCCTCTTGAATACCCTGCCTGTTGCACATAGGAGGCAAAAAAAGAAAAAGACAAACACAGAGATGTGGAAAGGACAACTTTATTCAGTTTCCCACATGAAAAGAATGGGGTTAAGTATTTTTCAGATGGTCAGAAGTTACATGGTGTTGTGGGATCATCAATCTTATAGAACTTATAGGAACATGTTTCCATATCCAGTATCGATCTGCATCCTTCTCTTACTTCAACGCCCCTAAAATATAAGTAATTTTCAATCAATATTTTTCTTGCGAAGATTTCTACTCAGAGAAAGGCTGTGCTCAAAGCTGCTGTGTCTTTGTGTCGTCTTTCCCCACCTCCACAGCTAAACCTTGTTTCACACAAGCAGTGTAAGACTGTGCGTGTGTGTTGGGGGTGATCACAGGGAAATCTTTTTGTGGTTTGATAAAAGGTATCGCCATCTCTTGCATTCGTGTATTCAGAGTTCAGAAACTAGGTTGTCTAAAACAACTCAGGTCAAAATGATAAAAGAGGTCTTTATGTAACACAACTGGGGAAATGACCTGTAGTCCATGGAAGTATATGCAAAATAAAAGTGACTAATCATGCTGTGTGGAATCCACAGCGTGGTATATTTGGGCATGCAAAGCCCAGCTCATTTTCAGGCAACAGCCTCGCTAAGTGCAAAACACAGCTTAGTTCAAGGCAATAGCTTTTCTGACTGCAGGGAAGGTCAGAAGAGCAAAGCGGCTTCTAGCATGGGAGGGGATCTGGGGAATCTCTACAGATTGCTTGGAGAGATCTCACTGGATAGGAGTAATAGGGTATGTATTCCCACCCACCCCTTTTTTTTATGGCTGGTGCTGCAAAGGTATCATTTCCTGTTAAAACAGGAGCACTTAAAAGTGAACATGTGGATCAAGCATTTTCCTTCTAAGCTACTGAAACACCACCAGCCTGATACCTCATTTATGTAATTTATATGATGACTGGCCAAATAAAGGAAGTAGGAAGAGGAAAATAGACAAACTGATAATTGGTAGGGAACAGACCTCTAATTTGGAGAGCATAGACCTTGTTTACTGAATATTGGAAAATTTATGACCAGAGAAAAAAATAATATTTATTCCTTTTTAAGCATTTCTTAACCATTTAATTAGTTAACATGGTTTTGACCTTAACGTGTGGGTAAAACCTCTGGAAAAGCTCCTGCTCTATTATGTCATTTATACAAGGTTAGTTGTGTTTGCCCAGGTGTTCGTCACATGCCGAGTCTTCCTCCAGTTGTGGAACTGGTTGTGTCTAATGGTTCTTCTTCGTGGCCTCTGTGAAATCACACTAATGGGTTAATCTGCGCGTACGCAGATAGTCTCGGAATGTTCTAGAGCTTAAAGTAACACTTTTGGCTCCGCCCCCCAGGACCTCATGGTCCGCCCGCCCTAACAGTTAGCTCAGTTCCATTTTTTCCGCTGCTGCAGTTAGGTCTCCTAGCTAGAGCTCCGTGAATATTCTGGAATTTACTGAGGATTTCTCCTCGTTTGGCTCCTTCTTCATCTTCAACACTTCAGGAAAGTAAAATACTTCAGTTGTGGAACTGGTTGTGTCTAATGGTTCATGTGGACTCTCACGTAAAAGGCAATCCAGGAATCACAAAACAAAAAACAAACACACAAATGAGAAAAATAATTCAGCTCCTTGATAAAGTTCAAGGAGATGTTGGCCTCTATGAACTGATGCTTGATTATTTTTCCTTATTTGTCTATTTGAATTGGTTCCGATTGATGAATTCACATATAATTAATGTCAATTAATACACAGTTTTCAAGCACCATTATTTTAGCAATATGTCATTGTGCTTTGAGGTCACCTTTGTAGGACATGCTGTAAAATGTGTGCTGCTGAGAGATAATTGTTAAATATTTAGTTGAAATTAAATATTTCTATACCCATGTTTATTACAACTATAGAAAAAAAAAGGAAAAACTGGGCAGTACTCTTGGCTGTGAGATTTCAGTTTAAGAAACAATATGCAGAATTAATGCACAGAGAAGAGCACAATCTGTTATTCTTGTTGCAAATGTTACTAATATACAAGTTAATACTACTCCATTTTGGTATTCCTGTTACTGTATTCTTCTGGCTTTCTTCCCCTCATTACTACACAAAGCCCTCTGGAGCAACAGGGGGGTTTAACAGAATATTCTCCATCAAAGGGGCAATACATTCTATTATGGGTTTTTGCCATTTTTCCTACCTGGTACAGCACTGCATTTCTGTCCTTCCACAGGAGCACCTCATGCAACGTGATGAATTCCACACATCCCCAAAGGGATGCTTTGTCCCATCGTATAGGTCAGTGCATCCGTCTGGAAGCATCATTTTACCTAGGAGAGAAAATCTCCGTCGGTTGTGCAGGAAAGGCCCCAACACCAGAGGCTGATGAGGGACAACTCAGAATATGAACTGCTGGGAGTGAGAGGGTCAAAGACATTGTGAAGCCCCATTCAGGATGATCCTGTGTGGATCTCCCAGTGTGAAGGAGTAAGGAACCTTAAAGGTACATAATTCAATTTATGTTGTCAGGTCAGTTCCAATTTATGATGATTCTCCCAGGATTATCAAGGGATCAGGTGCTTAGAAGTGGTTTCCCAGTCCTTCCTTTAGTGGTTCTCTAGGACTGTGCAGCTTGCCCCTGATCACACAAGGGACAGAAATACGTGTGACCCCATCACCAGCCCCTATTCTAGGAAGCATAGCAAAAATGCACATTCCTGGCTCTTGGTTCTGCAGCCAGGTGCTCCAACCCACTGAATTATACCAGCTCCCCCTAGGCACCCTAACCATAAAGATGCAAAGCAAAGCAAAGCGTGCTGCTTATATACCACCCCACAGCACTTCAAGCACTCTCTGGCGGTTTACAAGTTAATTATACAGGCTACACATTGCTCCCCCCCCCCATGAGCCGGGTACCCTCTATCAGTTGTCCTCATCCCAAAACACTTTGACTAGAGCTTTCCAAGCACAAATTCATTCTTAGCCCAAATCTATTAGTGGTGGCCACATTACCATCAACAAACGCAACTGTATTTCTTGCCAAGAAGCAGGCTCCATGACAGAGACCAAGGGTGATGCACAAGGCCATTAGGCTGAGGAGGACCTTCTGAAAAAGACAGAATAAGAGAGGGGAGTGATGTCTCTTTGTCTGAACATACAATCTACCTCGCCACCCTGTCTTGCCACTCCACAAGTTTTGTTTGTGAATGGTTAACGGAAAGTAAACATGACCTCATCTGGTTGCCAAAGAACATCTTTCCATGGAAATTCTATTGAGGAATGAACACCATGTTAATTTCCAGATTTTCCTCTTAATGTCCAGTTCCACTTGATCTCCAGTTTCGCCCTGAGGCTGGTAGAAGAAGCAGAAGCTGACAAACAAAATGGTGAGAAACCAAGGGAACCTTCTTCAGGAGCTCTCTCTCTCACACACACACTCAACAATTATTCTGTAATCGATTAATATCCTGTGAGATAAAATTATGCAAGGTCTAAAGATGAAGCATATTCCTGATCCTGCTCGGAAGCAGGATTTTTTAAGAAAAAGGTAAAACAAAGTATGCAATCTGAAAAGAAGCCAGAGTCAGGGCACGTGGATCTTAATTTGGAAGCGGATGGCAGCTACGCAGCACCTGGCTGAGGGCAATCTTTCTCTCGGCATGATCCCCACCCAGCTCAAGATAAGGAACAATTTCTCTGTCCTGCCAGACAACAGTGCTTACCATTGTGGCGTTTCAGTCAGCAAACCTCTCCTGGTGAAACAGGGCTTTGGGTGGTGAGGGAATTTTGAGCGCTTGGGGGTCCCTCTTTCCCATATATATCCAAGCAAGAGGAGGAGGAGGAAAGGGAGGGGCTAAACTAAACAGAAGGCCACTCTTGCCCTCCTCTTTGGGGTGAATGTGTTTGCCAAAGCAATGTTTGATGTGAGGAAATCATTTTCTCCAGAATAGACTAGTGTTTGTCATGTACACAAAGCAGCCTGGGAGAGTCCTGGGAGAACCTTATCACCTGCTGAGGTTGATCTTGATAAGGCTTGAGATGTACATACTGGAGTTCTTTCAAAAACCCTTGCCCCCCACTCAGTTTCTAAGGTTCTCCATCTATCTCTACAAAACAAATACCAGAGAATTCAGGAGAAAACGACTTCTTTCTGTGAGACATTGTTGCCCCATATTCCACACCCTCACCCACTGATCATCTGACTTGTTTAGAGAAGCTAAGATGGGGCAAAGTCCGGAAAACTCAACTTTTTCTGGGCTTTCCCCCAGCCAGTTTAACCACTGCAGCATCCACTGCCTTGGATTAAGCAGCTTGTGAGAGGGGCAAAATGTTGGCCTTCTCCACCCTAAATCAGACCAATCAGGGATTAGCAAATAATAGACATAATGGTGATGGATAAGGAAGTCATACTGCATGCAGAAAACTGAACCACCTCTTTTAATATAAGGTGAAAAAAAGCTGACAGGGTGGATTAAAAAAAAAGATCTTGATCTAGTAGGAGATTTGAGTAGACCGTAGAAAGAAGCAAAACCAGGGAGCTGGACAGGGGCCAGATTGTATTTGTCTTCAATGTGGAAGAGATTGTCACTCTCGAATTGGCCTTCTCAGCCACACTAGACGCTGTTCCAAGACCTCCATAGAGAGCACAATACCATAGTCTCTCGAGACTGAAGGATGCCTACTGGAGTAGACCGTAAGGGAAATGCTAGTCAACAGTGTGATGTGGAAACAAAACACCCTAATGCTGTTCTAGGCTCCATCAAGAGTCTAGATCAAAGGAAGTAATAGTAAATTTTTTTTGCTTTGGTTAGGCCTAAGCTGATGTTCTGTGTCCAGTTTTGGGCACCACAGTTTAATAACAAGCTGTGATGTATCCAAATAGGAGTAACCCCAGTTCTTAAAACCCATGATGGATATAAATTAGCATGCCTTTTCCCATGTGTATGGATGCACGCCTGCCAACGTAGCCCGTCCCCTGCTGTTGCGTAGGGCAGAGATTCTCCCTCCCACCCCATGTGTGTAGTGGACAGGGGATGACAGAAGCCAATGGTGGGCTAGGCCAGAGAGTGAGGAAAAGACAGCCCTCCAGGAGAAAGAGGGAGAAGAAGAAAAGGCAGAGGGTGGCAATGCTGGAGGGGTGACTTCTTCTAATGCGACAGCCAAAGTATTGGAGCCTCAGTTTCAGGATCTGTCCTTCCAGTGAGCACTCCAGGATGATTTCCTTTAGAATGGATAGGTTTGTTCTCCTTGCAGTCCAGGGGACTCTGAAGAGTCTCCTCCAACACCACAATTCAAAAGCATCAATTCTTTGGCGGTCAGCTTTCTTTATGGTCGTATGTACTAACTGACACACAGTTGTACTCAGTCTGACACACAGACTCCCACTCCTCACTCCTCACACCAGCTCCAAATATATATACAGTACAGCTCCTCCTCCTGATGTCCCGCCTTCCACTCCCCATAGGATGGAACTTTCCCTCCAAACCCATGACAGACAGGTACCATCAGTGCTGTATGTGACAGTCATCACTTTCCTCCCAAGAAGCAGGCATCTTTCAATTTCATGGCTGCTGTCACCATCTGTAGTGATCAAGGAGCCCAAGAAAGTAAAATCTGTCACTGCTCTATATCTTCCCCTTCTATTTGCCAGGAGGTGATGGGACCAGTGGCCATTATCTTGGTTTTTTCTATGTTGAGCTTCAGACTGTTTTTTGTAATTTCCTCTTTAACCCTCATTAAGAGGTTCTTTAATTCCTCCTCACTCTTTGCCATCAGAGTGGCATCTTCCAGCATCATATCTTTTAGCCTTTTGTTTCTGTTCATGGGATATTCTTGGCAAAGATACTGGAGTAGCTTGCCAATTCCTACTCCAGGTGGATCGCGTTTAGTCAGAACTCTCCACTATGATCTGTCTGTCTTGGGTGTCCCTGAATGGCATAGCGCATAGCTTCTCTGAGTTATTCAAGTCCCTTTGCCATGACAAGACAGCAATCCATAAAGCGATTGCAAAAAGTTCATCGTAATGCGATTTCGTTGTTAAACGGAGCAATCGTAAAGCGAGGCACCATTGTATTTATCAGTGTGGCCAAGACCTGATATTGCTGCTAGCGTTAGCATCTTGCATCAGAAGTGTGTGAAACCACAAGTTAACCATTGGAATGGAGTAAAAAAGTTATTAAGATATTTAAAGGGCACTGTGGATCACAAGCTAAAACTGAATGTTGCAAGCAGTCTTGAATTAAAAGCATATGCAGATGCTGAGTGGGCAACTGATCCTGCAGATAGAAAGGACCTGATATTGCTGCTAGCGTTAGCATCTTGCATCAGAAGTGTGTGAAACCACAAGTTAACCATTGGAATGGAGTAAAAAAGTTATTAAGATATTTAAAGGGCACTGTGGATCACAAGCTAAAACTGAATGTTGCAAGCAGTCTTGAATTAAAAGCATATGCAGATGCTGAGTGGGCAACTGATCCTGCAGATAGAAAGTCAAATTCTGGTTTAGCAGTCTATCTGGGGGATGCTTGCATGATGTGGAAGTCTAGGAAACAAACAGGAATTTCCACCAGTTCCACAGAGGCAGAGGTGTGTCCTTTACATGAGTTAACTAAAGAACTATTGTGGATCAAACAGTTACTTAAAGCTTTGAATGTTAATGTAACTGAGCCTGTGCCTATTTTTATGGATAATACTGCATGTATCAGTTAAAAGTGTAAAAGGCAGAAGCAAACACTTATGTATAAAATACTGTGATGTATAAGGCAGGCTGTTCAAGAGGGAAAAGTAAAAGTTGAATTTTGCCTTGTTAAAGACAATATTGCTGACCAATTTACAAAACCTCTTCCAGAAGAGAGACATGTAGTTTTGTCCAGTAGAACCAGAATGTTCAAAACTTAAATTTAGGAAGGGTGTCAAGATATTTGTAATGGAGCAGTTCACTATAATGTAAATTAAAGTCTTCAGCATATGAAATGTACTCATGTAAGTAAGATACGTTAGAAAGACTGTATGTAAAGTGCAAGCATACACCTGTTGCTGGTTAACAGGCAGAGTTTGAGGCTTGAGTTGCCTCGGGAAGGTTACAGAGGCTTTTTCTCTGTATAAAGGAAGCTCTGGGAAAGCATTACTTTACTGCTTTCCCAGAGCTTCCTTTATACCGTCAACTCTCCCCGGAAGAAACCTCAGTGTTAGCCAAAGGAGGAAATTTTGCAGTCACACCCAGTAAAATTCCTGTGGAAGACATCATTGCCAATGTGGAATCAGCATTACATCATCTTCCAGAAGAAAAAAGCAGAAGAAGTAAGAGGTGAAGTGACTAGGATCCTACGAAAAGCAAAACGCCCCAAAAGCAACATAACAAGAAAAGAGAACAACCTTCAGAACACGGCCAAAGAGCCCGAAAAACCCACAACAACCATTACTTTACTGCTCTGGTAAAGGAGTAGTCGGGTTGCTTTGGTTCAGGAGCGGTCATGCTGATGTATTGGGATGTGAGTAACCATTTATGGTATGTTTATGCTGTTATACTAAGCTGTTATGCTGAAGATAAGCTGTTTAAGTTACATATGTAAATACAGAGTATTTTTTTAAACTGAGTTTGACCTGTCTTAGGTTTTGCATCCAGAGTTAAAGGAAGAGCACCGAATTCTGTTAAGTTTCCACCAGGATCAAATAGCTCTAGGCCGAGGTACTAGACAAGGTTGCCCACTCTCTCCAGTTCTGTTTTGCTTGGTTATTGAAATGTTGGCAAATGTAATTAGGAATGATGACTTAATTGAAGGTATGGGAGAAAAGAAGACAAAGATTAATTTATTTGCAGATGATTCCTTATTGACATAGCAGATATACTCTCGACATATAATTGTTTGCTGCTCATTGAGCACGAGTCACTTGCTGCTTTACATCTTATTGAAGTGGTGCAGTGTCTTTAAGAGCAAGTTAGGAAACAAGGAAAAGAACTGTTCCCCTTTTCCCTCTAGTGGCCATTTCTGAGATTGCTCCTTGGAAATACAAATGTACAGTAGGACTTCCATAAATGCAGGAGATTGGTTCCAAAGCCCTCCCCCGCAGATGCTGAAAAATGTGGATAACAGTGAACGCTACTTTCAGTGGTGCCCCGCATGACGATGATAATCCGTTCCATAGAAATCGCTGTTTAGTGAAATCATCGTCATGCGAAATCTGTTGCCCCATTGGAATGCATTGAAGCCTGTTTAATGCATTCCAATGGGGAAAATACCTCGTCGTCCTGCGAAGATCGCCCATAGGGAAGCCATTTTGTGAGCGCCGATCAGCTGTTAAGATGGCTGTCCTGCGAAGCATGGGTCCGGAAAACAAAGGGAAGCCATTTTGCGGAGCCGCCGATCAGCTGTAAAAATCGTCGCCTTACAAACAAACGGTCCGCGAAGCACGGACCAAATAATCGTCCAGCGAAAATCCCCCATTGGAATGACTGTTTTGCAAATCGCTATAGCAATCGCAAAACCTCATCGTCATGCGGATTCGTCATTTTACGAGGTCGTCGTCTAGCGCGGTACCACTGTAGTGAACATGGCATGGTCTCTAGTGGCCAGCTCTGGTAACTTCAACTTTAGAAATAATGTTTTTCTTTTCTTTAAATATTTTTAAGATGTGGATAAGTGAATCAGCAAATACTGATCCCATGGATAACGGGGTCCAACTGTAAATTCAAAGGCCAAAAGGAAATAATACTTTCCTCATACTTAAGAATTATAAGAGATTTGCATCAGACCAAAGAAAGGCCTGTCACTAACGTTCCTTAAAATATCCTTGGAAAGCAATATTTAGAAGTCGCTCCTGAAACTGGAGC